GAAAAAAAAAACTCTAAAATTCATATGGAAATACAAAAGCCATAATAAAGTCCGGGAATGGCAAGAGAACTACAGAATAAACATCAAAATAAAGTATTTATAGGACTGCATAATAAAACCCCATCAAGCTGTGGTCTAATAATTAAAAATAAAAATCATTAATTTCATAAAATAATGGGCCCACCACATAATTCTGTTTATAACACTTTTCTGTTTATTCTCAGATAAATATTAATAGCACACTACAGAAATATCACCACACTTTTATTTATTACAGCACTATTCCAAGTTATGTAACTATTACGTAACTATTCCAAGTTACGGACCAATTGGAGGTATGTGATGATGATGAAACATGTAAAGAATATTTGCTATATGTATACAATGGAATATTTTTATGTTTAAAAAGAATTATATAATACCATTTTCAGGAAAGTGGAATTTACTTGAGATCATCATGCTATATGACACAATGATAAGAGAGAAATGAGACCCTAACACTCACATAGGTCATTGCCTCTGTTCCCATCTGTTGTTGGATCCCATGCCTTTAATCCCAGCACTAGGGAGAAGAAATAGGAGTGACATTGTGGATCAAAGAGAGGAATATAAAGTGGGATGAGTCTGAGGAGTCACGCAGTCTGAGGTTTGGTAGAGACAGACAGTTTGAAGACAGGATCACGACTTAGGTCTGAACATTGGTAGAAATAAAAATACTCCATAGTAGTTGACTTGGCTTCTCTGATCTTCATCATTAACCCCTATATGTGACTCTTGGATTTTTATTATTAAGGCCAATGTGTTGGTAGAATGATTATCTTTTGGGTATATGCCCAAGAATGGTATTTCTGGATCCTCAGGTAGGTTGATTCCCAATTTTCTGAGAGTAGTAAGAGAGGCAAGCAGGCCTGCTTTTCATCACACCCAGCTCTGACACAGTTAACTCAGCCCCGGAAATAATAACACAGAAACTGTATTCATTTAAACACTGCCTTGCCCATTAGCTCTAGCCTCTTATTGGCTAAATCTCACACTTTGATTAACCCATTTCTGTTAAATCTGTGTATCACCACGAGGCTGTGGCTTACGGAGAAAGATTCCAACCTACGTCCATCTCTGGCCAGAGATTTATGTCTTCTGTCTGACTCTACTTCTTTCTCCCAGCATTCTGTTTGGTCTATTCCACCTATCCAAAAACTGCCCTATCAAAAAGCCAAGGCAGTTTTTTTTTTATTTAACCAGTGAAAGTAACACATAGACAGATGACCCTACTACATAATGTGAGAAACCACCATACTGATTTCCAAAGTGGTTGTTCAAGTTTACATTCCCAAGAGCAGTGGATAAGTGTTTCCCTTACTTTCTATTCTCTCCAGCATAAGCTATCACTGGTGTTTTTGATCTTTTCCATTCTGACTCTTGTAAGATTGTATCACAGAGTTGTTTTTATTTGCATTTCCCTGATGTCTAAATATGTTGAACATTTCCTTAAGTATCTTTTGGCTATTTGAGATTCTTCTGTTGAGAATTCTCTGTTTAGCTCAGTACACCACTTTTTAATTGGTCTATTTAGAATTTTAATGTTTAATTTCTTGAGTTCTTTATAAATTTTGGAGATCAATCCTTTGTCTGAAATGGGGTTGGTGAAGAATTTTTCTCATTCAGTAGCCTGCCTTTTTGTCTTATTGACTGTGTCCTTAGCTTTACAGAAGCTTCTCAGTTTCAGGAGGTCCTATTTATTTATTGTTGCTCTTATTGTCTGTGCTACTGGGGTTATATTTAGGAAGAGGTCTCCTATACCCATGAATTGAAGGCTACTTTTCACTTTCTCCTCTATCAGGTTCAGTGTGGTTGGATTTATATTGAGATCCTCAATCCATTTGGACTTGAGTTTTGTGCATGGTTACAGACATGGATCTATTTTCATTCTTTTACACGTTGACATGCAGTTATGCCAGCACCATTTGTTAAAGATGCTTTCTTTTTTTCATTGTATCTTGCTTGCTTCTTTGTCAAAAATAAGATGTTCATAGGTTTGTAGATTAATATCCGGATCTTCAATTTGATTTCATTGGTCAACATCTCTGTTTTTAAGATGATACCAAGCTGATTTCATTACTGTAGTTATGTAATAGAACTTGATGTCAGGGATGGAAATGCCTCCGGCGATTCCTTTATTGTACAGAATTTTTTTTTTTTGGCTAACCTGGTTTTTTTTTTTGTTATTCTATATGAAGTTTATTGTTGTTCTTTCACCATCTGTGAAGAATTGTGTCGGGATTTTGATGGGGATTACATTGAATCTATAGATTGCCTTCAGTAAGATTGCCATTTTTATTATGTTGATCCTTCCTATTCAAGAGCATGGGATTCTTTCCATTTTCTGGTATCTTCTTCAATTTCTTTCTTCAGAGACTTAAAGTTCAAGTACGTCTTTCACATCCTTTGTTAGTGTTACCCCCAGATATTTTATATGATTTGTAGCTATTGTGAAAGATGATGTTTCTCTGGTTTCCCTCTCAGCTTCTTTATTCTTTGTGTATAGGAGGGCTACTGATTTTTTTTACTATGTTGATCCTCCCAATCCAAGAGCAAGG